ACAACTACGACTACGAGGACGACGAAGATGAACCATTGATGCCCTGTCCCCGCTACAACACCATGCTGGCTGTCCAAAAGTCGACCCTGTTCATCTTTGGAGGTATCTTGGAAGTCAAGGATCGCGAGTACACTCTGGACGATTTCTTTTCGTTGAACTTGGACAAGATGAATGAGTATATCTGTTTGCGGGCTTCGGAATTCGAGTCGCAGCTTTGGCTGGGTGAGGAGTCGGATGATGACGAGGAAGGGGATGACGATGAGGATGACGATGAGGATGAGGATGAGGACGATGATGAGGATGAGGAAGATGGTGAGGAGGGTGAGGACGAGGAAGAAGAGGTTGCTGTTGTGGAGAGTTCGTCGGCGTCCAAGAAGGATAAGAAATCTAAAAAGGACAAGGAATCCAGCAGTAAGGACGACCCCACCACCAAGGAGGAGAAGAAGGAGAAGAAGGACAAAAAGGAGAAGAAGGAAAAGAAGGAAAAGAAGGACAAGAAGGATAAGGCGACGGCGGAATCGACATCAAGCGCTGGCGCCATCGACCCCACTGCTACTCCTGTTGACGGTGCCAGTACCCCTGCTGAGGGTGCTGAGGGCGAGGTCAAGGTAGAGGGTGAAGAGGAGGTCAAGGAGGTTGTACCATCGCAATTGAGCGGTGTTGATCTTGCGGCACGTCTTGCCATGACTGAGGAGGAGACTGCCAGTACCCCGACCATTGGCGAGACTCTCAAAGAGTTCTATGGACGCACTAGTAAGTGTCTACATTCGTCCTGTTGGCTATGTTTGCCTGTTGTTGCTGTTGTTGTTGTTGTTTTGTTGCTTTGTTGTATTTTTATTATTATGGCAGCCTATTCACCACCTTCTTATGTCTCCTTTATTGCACTCCTTCTCATAGCCGAGTACTGGGTCCTCAAAGCCTTCGAAGATAGCACCAAAACCGGAAAAGCCTTGCGCCACGACGGGTTTTTGTTGGCCGAGGCAAAGTTTAACGATTGGCAACCTATCCTGGCTCAAATGGCTCAAATGCGTTTGGAGGCTGGTTTGGATGATGAGGATGATGATGATGCTGCCGGAAGGATGGGAGCTAGGGGTGGAGTGTTGAAGATGGGAGAGGTTTATAATAAGCTCATGTCTAGACATCGTCGTTAAAGGTGGAGTATGGTGGTGGTGGATGAGGTTTTTATTTGATTGATAAATTATTGCATTTGCATTCACTCTCTTCTCTTGCATATCCGTATGTTTGTGACGACAGATATATTGTTTTTGAGTGTGCGCTTGTGTGTTTGTGTTTGCTATGATGATGTGACTACAGAAAATGGAAAAAAAAGGCTAAAGAACTACGAGTATTGAACACTTTTGCCCTTGTTGAGGTGATCATCCTCATGGTCATCAAAAGAATAATGAGACCCAACAAACCCGTGAGTCTTGGCAGCAGCCTCTGCAAGCTCTTTAACAGCTTCATGGACATGAGGCGCTTCCAGCAGTGGATGACCCTTGTCGACACGGACGGCCACCTGCCCATGGACTGCACGGCCCTCGGGCGACCGACCTTCCTGCAAGATGACGACCTCTTGGTCTAGGTCTCTGTCGCGGGTGTCGTCGATGGATCCGATGGATGAGCGGTCTTCGTTTCCGACGCGTGTCCTGTCTGGATCCCTGCGTCCGCTACGACGAGTGCTGTTGTCGCCGTGCTCGATGGAGGGAGAGGTATGTTCAAACGAGATGCGACCGCTACCATGCTTCGTGGGCCCACCACTACCCAACAACAAAGTCGCCAAACCTGGCAGGGGGGAACACAAACCCGCAAGAGCCAAGATCTTGCCAAGGTACTTGGCAGCCTGACGGGCAATCTTGCCACCAGGCATCAACTTCTTGATCGCTTCACCAGATTCAGGATCAGCGAGATCGCCTTCATGGCGTTCAGAGAGTACGGTGGCAAGGATGGCGCGATCACTGTGCGTGAGACCATAACAGTTGGCGAGTGCACCGCCGGGAAGGAACAGTTGCCAGGCGGCGGTGGAGCGGGCTTCCTTGGGGAGCTGATTGTAACAGTTCATGACCAAGACCAAGAGTGGAATCAGACGAGGGAGGCTCTCGATAAAGACGGGGAGCCCTTCAGCATCCTTGTCGGAGAAATCGGCGTGAGGATCATGAGCAGCAGCGGCACCATCACCATTATTGCCCAGGGGAGGGAGCAAACAGCAATTGGCGAAATCTGGAGGCAAGGCCGACGACACAAACGATGTCAAGGTCTGCAAATCGGAAGTGTGGAGGGCTGGTTGACCACCCCCAAAGGCACGGACAAAATTCTGAACAGTCTCGTAGGCAGGATCCTTGTTCTGGATATGAGGCGGCAACATCTCAAAGCAACCGCCCTGACGAACACCGCCCTCCGAGAACAAGACATCCTTGATCGGGATCACCTCCATGACCGCGGCCATCAACGTTGCGCAGGCTGGGACCAATTTGGCACGACGCTTGGAGACACGGAAACAGGTCTGGACTTCCTCAGGGGAGAGGGAGCGGTACTTGTGGACAATCTTGGACAGCTCCTTTCCAGAGGCCATGTACCCGTTAATAATCGGGATCGGGTACCTAGCATCATCCTTAGCCTTCTTCATCTTGCGCGCCATCAACAAATACCCCAGCGCACGGAACCCTCCTCCAGACAAATACAATCTGTACCCACCCTCCCGCTCATTATGCTCTCTCACCGCAGGGGCAACATGAATCGCCTCCAAGCCTTGCTTAAACGCCTTAACCATCTCATCATAAATCTCCTGTCTCCGTCCATGATCTGACCCACAAGCATTCAACCGCTTCGACAAAGCCGCGGCTCCATAAGGCCACGACTGGGCATTTTTCGAACTCTCACCTCTACCATCCCCGGGTCCACGAATAATATAATTCAATTGGACAGACCCACCCCCCAAATCCATAAACAACCCCTGGACCGTGTGATAAGACGCCATCACGCCTAGGGCACCAATATCGGCCTCGTCAGCCTTGGACAACAACTGGACCGACCAACCCGTGGCGGCCTTGATACGGGCTTGAAACTCTTCCGAGTTGGGGGCAGTACGTGTTGCCTCGGTAGCAATCACACGGACAGTTTCGACATTGGCTTGCTGACAGAGTGCTTGCCAGCGTTCAAAAGTGCGGACTACCTCATCCATAACCTTTTCGCTGATCGGGCGACGCTCCGAGGGAGAAGAATGAGTCTTGAGGCCCTTGAGGGACTTGAGGTTTGTGGGCGAGATGGTGATATCGTGGTCCACCTCATAGTCATCCGATGCTACCAACGTCTTTCTCAGATCCGCCTTGTTTGTTGCAGCACCAGACCCATCGTCAATCAAATCCTCCAAATCATCCTCCACCCTCGGCTCCTCCTCTTCTTCTTCCTCACCATCCCCCTGGCCCATCACAGCAATGGTCGCAGAGTTGGAGATAGAAGGCGTGACAGCCGTATGACTCGACGACAACCGGTTCAACTGAGGAGCACCACCGCTCGACTTTTTCCCACCCGTAACACCTGCCCCACGCGACACGGCAGAAGCCCCTGAGGCAGCAAACGTGACAATATCCAAGCCATCCGATTCTCCCTCCCCGGACGAAAACTGTGCGTCAAACAAAGAAATAGGAGCGCGTTCCTCATAAAGCACAGGCAAATGTCTATCAAGAGAAGAAATGATCCCAAACCGAATGCCGTTACTGCCCATATCAACGATGGCTAAGGGAGCGCGGAGTCCAGAAGTGGTGCCATTGGAAGTGGAGCCGTTGGTGGAGGGTGCGCGATGTGAGGGTGAGTTGGAAGTTGGAGGGGTGACAAAGAGACCCCGGAAGGAGTCGAAGCAGCCAGCTGCTGGTGGTGGCATTGTTTTGTTTGTTTGTCGGTTGTTTGGTTGTAGAGAAAAGAAGAGAATGTATCAAGTGAAGTGGAGTGTGGGAATAAAATATGAAAGTGAAAGACGAGAAAAAGAAAGGGGGAGGGGTATCGAGAAGTGTGAAAAAAAGAAACAAAAACAGTAAAAGAGCGTGCGTGCTAGGGTATTATAGCTGTGGGCACCAATGAGCGAAATGTACAGTACAAGAAAGTAAGAATGACGATTACGCCAGAAAGGTTAAATGGAAGAAGAGTGGAGAGGAGATCGAATGGTGCTTGACGGGAAGAAATGGGCGTTGGGGTGAGAGGAAAGAGGAAAGAGAGAAAGAGGAAGAAGAGAAGAAGAAGAAGAAGAAGAAGAAGAAGAAGAAGAAGACGAAGAAAAGGAAAAAGGTAAGGAATGAGTCGAGGGTGAAGGAGAATGAAAAAAAAAAAGGAAGAGTAAAGAAGAAGCAGAAGCCAGCAGCAGCAACAGCAGCAGCTGGCCAGCATAGCAGCACAGAGGAGATAAAAAATATTAGCTCAGTGCTGTTTGACTGATCCTGTTGATCAATATTCCTTGCTCACACGACAAGGCAAAACAAAGATCGCATAATCAAGCAACACGGACGGGAAGAAGATAGGGTCATCCGTGCATGCACACTGCATCACCCTCGCATAACTCTCTCTCTCTCTCTCTCTCTCTCTTTGCTTCGGGAGTACCTCCTGGGGTGTCTGTCTGGCAACAAAGCACATGTGTGTGAATGTATGCGTCATGAATTGCTCTCCTTTTTGATGCTTTCAAGATCCCTTGGAGGAGAAGGAGGAAGAGAAGGAGGAGGAGAAGCAGGACGCGGAATCAATGTTCTTTGCTGAGCTGAAAGATTGCCATGTAGGAGACTCGAACAAGGCAAAGAACACCACATTTTCTTCTATTCTATTCGCACACACTTCTATTAAACAGAAACACCAAACGATCACCTTGTTCTTATTTTATGTCAAGGAATGTTTTTTTGAACCTGTCATTAGGAGCTAAATAATGGAGCACGTGCGCCATAATTTAACAATTTCTGTTGATCGATAAGAATATGTGTAAGTGGGAATTTGGTGTTCTCATCAGCTGAGAAATCAGCATTGCGACTTTAGCTCAGTTGGGAGAGCGTCAGACTGAAGATCTGAAGGTCGAGTGTTCAATCCACCCAAGTCGCATTCTTTTTGCTCTTTTTGTATCGCTAATCGGCGCGCCTTTTTTTGTTACAGAAGTAGTGATCCATTCCTTCACATACTCTTTTAGTTGAACAGGTTGATGATATGCGTACCTTTCGAGTCCTTTGTTTTTTTTTGCTAGGAACGCGTCTTTTTTTTCAATGTGCTTCAGCTGAGGTGTAAACAGTATAAAGAACAAAGCTGGTTGATCATGCACCTCCTTGTGAACAGTCGGGGAAAAAAAAGTGGTGTGCGGTATTTTTTTTTTTCTTAGGGATGACATTCCTTTCTTTCAGGGACAAGGTAGGGCAACAAAGGAAAGAAGATGATGTTTGCATTTCTCTCGGATGACCCGCATTGCGCAAAAATAAAGGGGCCGTCAAGGAAGAGCAACAAGCAAGGTGAAGGAGAAAGAGCAAAGAGAGGTGTCGAACGCGACAACAAACGAAGACGTGATTCTTGCCGACTTTGGTGCCATGTATCGTAGTCAGGACGATGATGTCTATCGAAAATAACAAACACTGGCCTTCCTGACGACGAAATGGAAAAGCACGTGGATTGTTGTCAACTAAGCTTGAAAGGAAATGAGTTGTTAGGGTCAAGGCTCTTAGGCATGATGTTGATTTCACTCTAGCGCACTGGGCAACTGACAAATGATCCATCAGGTGGATGTGCCTCATGGTGCCATAATGAAAATAATACGAAGAATGCATAACAGATGCATGCGCGCTTTCCCTGCACAACTCTTATTGTTGTCCATTTACGCTCAGGTCACACGCGACTTCTTACAGTTTCCTGCATTCTTTTCAGTTACAAAACATTTCAGAGGTTGTTTTTTATTCTTGAGGGTTCTTTTCGCCTGGGGAACATGCAGGCACCCTTGACAATCGAGAGAAGAGCGTAACAGTTGCCATACTTATGTTATGGTGACAAAAAGGTTGGATAAAAATTGAATAAACAAAACAACATGTATTTCCAATTACGTCCCACGAACCGCTCGCTCTTTTCTTTTCGATGCGAATGGTTCTTCTTCTTACTCCTCCACCTATTTCCATTGCCTTCCACCTACTGCTCAATTGGGCCTGTAGGTCAGAATCCACCAACGCCATATCGCCTTCTCCTTGATTCAACCATATCATCAATTCTTTTTTCTGTTGCCCTTTCTGCTCCACCCACAACCCACTTCATTCTGATATCTACCCTTCGCCGCACCTGACCGATTGTGCCCTACTGGATCAAGACAATGATTATCGTCCTCCTTGCAACCCAGCGCATCGAAAGATATCACATTTTCAGCAATGGAGCCGAGGTCCCTTTCGCATACATCATCCCCATATCCCCGAGGTAGTTGGCAAAGTGAATAGTTGTTTTGATATTCCTGTAGCTCATGACCACACCCTTTTTTTGTTGTATGAAAACCTAGCTGCTCCGTTTTCATTCTCTTTGTACAATGCATTCGTATTTAAATACGCTTTTTTCCTTGGCAGTTGGGGTTCTCGAATCGCTCCAAGACCTCATTATGACCAGTGGCTCGCAGAGACATGTCCTTATCTGCGGACTCGATTACCCATGGTCACATCGCCGGCCGGCTCGCCATGCCTAACTCAGTGAAATCTATTCCGAAGCTAGAGATGGATCCTCGAGCTCTTGGTGGTGGATTACCTTGATGCTAGACCTCCCATTTGGAAAAGATAATCTGACATTGGTGTCAAACTAATGTTTTTCTGGCTAATCTGATATGTGCTGTCAGATTGTATTTTTCAGGAAAAGTTATTCTAACATATAATACTCTGCCTAATTGCAATGCCTCACCTCAGCAACATGAAGGTTGCAACAAACCAAATACCTTGCGGTTGCAAACAGGTTACAAGGACAAAATATAACATTCTTTGAAGAGGGTGTCAGATTTTTCAAGGACAGTTTGTGCGAGTAAAGTTAACCCCATCGGGTGACAGGATGCAAGATAAAAAAAACAATCTCGCAGGAAGAGGCAGTATGGAAGGCAAGTCCCATTGGACCATTGTCCAAGCACTACTGTTGTATGTAAAAACGTCATACTCATAGTGTACGCATACAAAAACCTTTGTTGGGAGCCATTGAAATCCTTTGCTAGAAAGCAAGGCGCCTCCCACACTACGATAACTCTATTGACGTATGTGCATGCATGTGGTGTGTAGATGTGCCAGTCCTCTGTCAAGGAGAAATCTTTTGCTAGGAAGCTAGGCAACTCGCTCACTTGCTACAATGCCTCTATTGATGCGCTGGTCCTCTGTCAAAGAATAAATCTTTTGCTAAGAAGCTAGGCGCCTCGCACACTTGCTACGAAGGTTCACCCAAGGAGAAAAATATCCCGCGCAGTCGAAACGGCGGTGTTGATGACGGGGGATAATAGTCGTCGAGAAAAAAACGGAAAAAAACGAATCCCACGACCAAGGCGATCTTGTCGAAGCTCTAATACTCACGGCTATAACACAACATTCTGTTCTGACTGTTCTTAAAGATATTTCAACGTCGTGAAATCCACCCATTTTATTCACCATCATCATTTTCTACGCCATATCCGGACATAAAAAAAGACAAGGATGCCTTCCAGCAACACTCTTCCTAAACACCACCTCATCCGACACTTCAATCTGATAGACTCTCTCATGAACCTCCATCCTCACTATGAACGGGCCCATCCACCTCTGAATCAACTTGCCCTCCTTTTCCCAACAGTGTGATTCTTCATGAGCACCAAGTCACCCTTCTCCAACGACTCCTTCCTCAAGCGGTGTGCCTTATCGAACCACTCTTTGTTACGCACACGAGACTTGTCCAACGCCTCACCCAAACCCTCCCTAGGTCGGCTCGCTGACAAAAGTTGATGTGCTCGGACTTCCAACAGCTCAGCAGTGTCCTTCACTCTTTTCCAGTCCAGACCCGCCCACTTCCAGTGCTCTGTATCCGTAGGCAGAACACAATCGAACCCATAGACAAGACGGAAAGGCGTCTCCCCTGTGGTCCTACACCAAGAGGTCCTATCGGCCCATAGCGCGCTCGCCAAGTATCGAGGCCAGTTCAACTCGTCTCCAAGGGACAACTTCCTAATGCACTCAACCAGCGACTTGCACACATGCAGCTACTGCGGCTAGCAACCGCTAAACATCTCACACATGTTGTGCGCGTACACAACACCTTGTACGCCCATTCATGCTCTCCTGCTGGGGGCTGCTTGTTAAAGGAGGTCGTAGAAATAAATCTGAGAGAAGTCTGGTGACTTGTTATTGGATGGGAAGACGGAGCCGATCTTATGCATAACTTGGCCACTGATGTGGAATGTAAAGACGCCCTTCTTAGCACTAGCAAGAGACTGGTCGAGGTTGCATCACATTGATGCAAAAGCCATGGCAGAGTTGTATTTTCTGAGAATGTCTTGCGTTGTAACAGATCCATGATTTTGTAGTAGGGCGTGATTTTTGGGATGGTGATCTGAACCTTGATGCAGCAGATGGAAAATAAGGGATTGGTTCGAGATCCAGCTGACCGCTCCAGCACCCACACCAAAGCAAGACAGTGTGGGAATTCCGTCATGTCCTGTAAGATATGGCGTAATTGTCGTTCATCCACAACCGGTCCACAGACAAGGTACTGGGAGGAATCACGCCGAGCGATAGGAGTGGTATGTAACTTACTGGACGGGCATTGGTGCGGCTATACATATGTATCAATAACAAATAAAAGTTGATTGGAGTTCAAAGGGGTAAAACTGTGACAAAAGAAACCGAAAGTGAAAGGAAGAAATAATTAGGATGATAATAATCAATAAGTACCTGTTTCCACATATTAGGATGCAAAGAAACGCGTCCTGTAGGTCGAGGCTCGTCATATAGTCGCATTTGTTGATCAGGTTGCAGACAACTTTCACCGTCTTCATCTTGAAGTGTTGGTGTGGTGTGGTGAAGTACATGGGGATCTGCCTGTTTGAGCGATTTAGTGGCGTTTCTGTGACCATCATTTTGTAGTGTAGAAAATAGTAATAAAATAAGCAGGAACCGAACAATTGGTTCGGCAGCTTTCTTTTCCTTTTTTCGTCGTATTTGATCCATTTTTATTGATTATCTTGGCTGTCGAGACCCGATGACCACCTTCAGCAACACTACCACCATGGTATGTCTCGCATTGTGCCCGTACCCTCCATCATTCAGCACGGAAAGCTGATCCAGCCGCTATAATGAAGCGTTATTGCAACAGCTAGAGGTGAAGTCAAGAGGAGAGGGGGACAAGTGCGAGAGTTGGA